GTTGTCCGTGTCCATTGGTTAGACCTATATGCTTGCATGTAAGTCCTTTGGTTGATCTTTCCCCCTTAACCCTGCCCTCCCCTACCTTCCCTCCAAGGCCCGACAGTCCAATCAATGCCTCTCCGTCTCTGGATCAGTCCTTGTTCATCAGTTTATGATGTTCATTATATTCCACAAATGAGTGAGATCATGTGGTATTTATCCTTCTCTGACTGGCTTATTTCACTTAGCATAATGCTCTCTAGTTCCATCCATGCTGTGGCAAATGGTAAGAGTGCCTTTTTCTTCTTCCTCTTCTTAAAGAATACCTTTCAGCATTTCATATAATGCTGATTTTACATTTGTTGACATAATAGTATATTTATAAAAACAAATGAAAACTATAAAATGTGAAGAGGAATAATTATTCTGGCAATATTTTATGTTAAATGCTACTTCTTTTTCAGATGACTATTAGTGATAATCCAGGGTTGGTATATTATGAGTACTTATAGGATCTGCTTAGATTCTCTACTAAGAGGAAATTTGTGGCATTTAACTACTACATTCCAAAAAGAGCTTTTGCAAAAAATGAAAACTGAAAGTTTTGTGTTTCATAGATATATCTGTTTTGAGTTGTTACTTTTCACTGGAGGGGATTTTCACATTACATTTAGTTAGCTCTATCTTTGAAAATTTACTTAGGATTCAGGACATAGTGTTTCTGGCAGTGATTATGCCCAGAGCGTCCTGGAGTGATTTAAAAAAATGTTCCCTCCTACTTGTAATCTCACGCATTTAATTGATTACTCACGCCTCCTTTTCAACCCTGTTACAAGTTCTGTCTGATAGAGAGTAATCTGCATATTGATGGTCTTAACAGACTTTAAAGAATACACATATCTCATCTTTCTAGTTTTTGTCCCTGTTAATATCTGCTCCATTTATTATGATTTCAATGTGACAATTAGTTTCTTTTAGTAATTCTGTTCCATTGACCTAAATGTATACACATACCCCTCTGTATGTGTTCTTTTAGCTTTATTTTGTTTTCAATTGCTTTTTTGTTTACTGAATATTTAATCAAGTGTAGGTCAACATTATTTGTTTGTTTTCTGTAATTTTGAGCTTATAGGCCAGTGATGGCGAAACTTTTGAGCTCGGCCTGTCAGCATTTTGAAAAACCCTAACTTAACTCTGGTCCCGTGTCACATATAGAAATTTTTTGATATTTGCAACCATAGTAAAACAAAGACTTATATTTTTGATATTTATTTTATATATTTAAATGCCATTTAACAAAGAAAAATCAACCAAAAAAATGAGTTCGCGTGTCACCTCTGATGTCATAGGTTCGCCATCACTGCTATAGGGTCTACACTTACATAAGGGAACACAAACTATTAAAAGATATTGATAAATTCTAACTTACTCAAAGAAAACTTTAGATAATTTTAACGAACAAGGCTCCCAGCTAGCATAAATGACTTCAAGTCAACCTTAATTTACCCAGTGTTGACTTTAACGCAAGATGTATTTGGATTCTATTTGATCCTTTGGGAGTCTTATATTTCAATTTTTTATAAAAGGAATAATCATCTATAGATTAGATACCATTCTTTTAAGAATTATAATGAGTTTCCAAAGAGCCTCTATCATTCATAAATTATTCACTCTGTGGAGCTTTACTAAAATCATATGTCTGTGTCATATAGGTAACTTGGCATTAAAATGACAGTACTGCAGTTAATGCTGTGTATATGTATGCAGAGTGAACATAACCAGGAAATATGCACTCTAAATGATGTGCTCAAATGCAAAACTAAGAAATATTGTCCTGCAAGCTTGTCAATGTTGTGCAGGACGCAGTCTCATTTTTCTAATTTATGCTGCTGGTCTATAGCTTACATTGGAGTTGACAGTTTATATTTCAGAGAATATAACATAAAACAGTAAGCTATTTCTCTTTATAGGAACAATTTAACGTTTTAGTTGGCATAGGTGCTGAAAAGTCAAAGTTCTGAGCAGGACCAGGACACAGGTAAAAATAATTAAACTCAAGAATTGAGAAGAATCTGAGATTTTGCTATGCTTGCAAGCTGATGCACAGCTTACCACAGGTTCACGGATACTGGCTGAAGTCATGAAACTCCTCAGCCAGAGACAAAAGGCTTTATTACTCTTAGTAACAGCAGCAGCCAGAGAGCCATCATTTTTTGTGTCAGTGCCTTCAGTCCCAGTTTGCACAAGGAGACATGAAGAGGGCCAGGTGGCACTTGTACATGCATTGTGTTGTATTATAGGAGAGAAACACCAAACCAAATCTCTTAGAATGGTCCGTAAGCAGCTGTGGAGAAATATATTCTTTGTATTATCCAAGATTGTTTGCTATACAAACATCCTTGAAAAAAGTCTGGAACATAGAGCAGTCAGTGCCTCTGTTTTTAAGACATGTAGAGATGGAAGAAATCTATGGAAAATTGACACCTTCAAAAATAAAACCATGAGTCCTTGGCCCAGAAGAGTAGCTACTTCTTGCCTAGGTTTATTAGTTCCAGTATCTTTTCTGAAAAGAAAATTCCTCTGAATAGTACCTGGTAAAAGAACTCACACTTATTCACCCTTCTCCCTATTACTCTTTAGCCCCATCTCTGTTGGAACTGATTTCGCCTGTACCAGAAATGACCTCTTTGAAAGTGGACATAGTATTCAGGACTCATCTTTCTTGGTCTCTCAGTAACAATTGGTAGTACAAAGTAATTCTTCCTTTTTGAAACAAAGTCTATTTTTGGCTTCTGTTAAACTACACCTCTCCCTCCATGACGACATCTCAGTTGCCTTTGTGGCTATCTTTTCCCTTAAAAATATTGGTAACTTTTGGAGTTCTCTTCTTTTGTTTACACATTCTCCCTTATGTGACATCACAAACTTGATAGAGCTGATTGCATTCATATTTATATCTCAAACCTAGACCCTTTCCTGAATCCCAGACCCAAATTACCATTTAGATATCTTTTTTGATATTTTTATTTAGATGTCCACTGGCATCCACATTCATCAAGTTTAAAATTCAGCTTACCATCTTTCTTGGTCCCCTAAACCTACATGTCCTCATGTGCTACTGTCCTATCAGTTGATAGCACCATTCTCCCAGTTTTCCAATTCAGATGGTGCTATCCTTGATTCTACTTCTCCTGTATCTTCTGTGTGCATATTTGTCCATGCCCTGCTGATTTTGCCATCCAATTACCTCTCTGTATATTTCTATCGTCCTCACTGTAACTACTTTAACTCAAGCCACCCTCATTTACTGTTGCTAACTCAAATATGTTAAGATTCCTCACATTCAGTCTCTTTGACTCCAGGATTACCTTGTTCAAATTTACTCTCTATCCATAACCAGAGAGATAAAATGCCAATCTGACCTTGTCACTTACTTAATTACACCACTTTCTTGAGTTCACTAGGGCTTGAGATAAAATTCAAATCTTATCCTAAGAAATGAGATAAAATGAGTTCAAATTTGACCCTGATGATCTCTTCTGCCTTGTTTCTGACCACTTATTAGTAAATCCATATCTATATTCTCTCTCTGTTCCTAAAAAAAAAGTCACTTTCTGTGTTTTACCTTAGGAGTTTTACACATGCTGTTGCCTTTGCTGGAAACTGTCTCACTTGCCTATTGAACCAAATATTAAGTCCTTAGGGGAATATTTGCAGATTAATCTTCACTGGCCTAGGTGCCCCCATAGCATCCTTTACCGCCTTTCTCTGAACACTCATCCCCCTAGAACACTTGTTGCTAGTTTAAATTCTGCCTCTCCCTCTGCACTATTAGCTCCATATTATATTCTCTAGGACTGCAGGCTATTCTGAGCTGATAGAAGACTCTCAATAACTATTTTTGAATGTATGAATAAATGAAAGTAAGATCAAGCTCTCTTCAGTGTGAATTATATCTTTATCTTGACAGGCCCAGATATCTCCATTTTTAGTATAATAGAAAATGATACCTCTTATATAACCGGAATTATACACATGTAAAAATGGAGGGTTTTTTTCACAGAGTTTTATATATTTGTATGTGTACATGTTTGACTCAGCTGAACAACATCAGTAATATATTCTGACATTATGGCACACAGAAAGCTCTCAATAAATATTATAATTTTAATGAATGGATGAAAATGAGAGCTAGCTTTTGTCACAGTGAATTATGTCTTTTTTATGGCAGACCCAATTGTATCTGCTTTTCACATAATGCAATAATGATAGCATTTCTAGAATAGAAATTACACACATATAACAATGGGGGCCATTTTCTCAAGGGCTTTTGATGTGTGTGCCTGTACTTTTCTCAGAACTACACAATGCCAATGATAGAATTAGGAATCATATAGGTAGATAAACGGATATTATCCATTGTATACAGTGCTGAAATTATGTAACCATTTTCTCTTTGAGGGTATTCATGTACATACTTAATGGAGATTTGTTTTTTCAGGATAAGGTTCTGCTAGGGTAGGTACATTCCTAAATAGAAGTTGCATTTCCCTTTGAGTATATCCTCAATGCCTTACAAAATGAAGTATAACTTCATCCTCTCACAGAGGAGTTAGCGATCTTATTTTTTTTCTGCTGCTGCTTCCTTCTCTCTCTGATGAGTCTGTTGCTCTTGTAGTCTTCTTATGAGTAGAGTAGGGGAGTAGCGAGCCTCTTTTTCTTCATCATTGATAGAGAGCACCTGTAGTTGTATCATACAATGGGGGGGAGGTGAGGTGTTCCCGAAGAGGCATCTCTTAAGCTCACAAAAAATTGCCCTACAGTAAATGAAGTACTTATATAAAAGGTTATCATTATGCCTATCGTATTCTCGAGGAGAAACCCTTTGAGATGATACCAATTAAGCAAGCCTTTAGCTAGTCTCAGTGATTGGAATACATGTGATCTCTTCATCATGTTTTGTTCTGTTTATTGTAGATTGCAGTGTTGTGTATTTCTTGGGAAGTGTGCCTTGCATTTTCAGAGGATCTGCTTATTTGTTTGGTTCTATTCCAGAGCACATTCTGTGCTTTCCTTTTTAGAGACAGTGGCAGTATTTGTTACATTTGATTATTATTGCTTTGTAGATGTGCTTGGTTTAAACTAAAAAAAAAAAAAAGTGCTATTATTGCCTCCCAACTTTATTTTTAGCTTAACAGTGTTCTTGCATCTTGCCTAAAGCCTCCTTTCAGTGCACAGGCTTATATAATGTTAAAAGGCAAATAAAGCTGAAAAACTCCTCCTATATTCTAAGTGGAATATGTCTGCTATTAAAAGAATATAACTGCTATTAAAAGACTAAAGTGTCTTTTGAAAATGTGCGTACAAGAAAACCTATTGATTCTCTGAGGGGACTATCACAGGTAAGCTTTTGAATATAATAAAAAATGTGTGACATTACATAAATAAAAATACTTTTCTTCATCCCTACAATAGTTGTTCCTTTTATTTTAAAAATTGTGTTTTATCAAAAAATTATTTTTTCTTTACATTTTACTTATTTTTCACTTGAACCTCTCTTTTTCTTAGCTTCAAGCTTACTTTATAGAATGAAATTACTTATTACTCTCCCTCTAGTTGTAGTGATTGTATATTTTGGCTTTGGAATCTGGACTTGCCCAGCACAAAGGGCTGATTTTGTCGTTCCATCGCTCTAGTATGAAATCACTTCTATAGATTGTTTTTATGGAAAAATATTTAGTTAATTATTTATTTATTTTCAAGAGAATAACAATGTTTATTAAGGATCATTTTATTTCTCATTTTGTTTTTTCTCTGCAATTTATTGAACTTTATAATTTATGAGGACCTTGCATCTGGAGTTCTGGTTAATAATTACACATATTCAGCATGATATCCTTCAAACTAATAGAGAGTGGTCACATAACTCTTCCTAATTGGCAAGAGAAGAGTGAAGAAAAACAAGTAATATTAATAATAGCAATACTTATGCATATAATATTTACTGGAAGATATATTTTCTCACTTAAAAATACAAGCATTACCTCCACTTTATAGATGAAGACGCTAAGACTCAGTGAAGTTAAATGACTTTTATAAGTGCACAGAACTATAGAGTGGTGTTATAAAGAATGGTGAAGAGAATGACTACAACATTACACTCTTCAAGAAAGCATGGGAGCTGTCCACAGTCTAATGATAATCTAATTTCTTTCTAAGAAGCAGAAATTACTATTCATTTTAGAAAAAACACACAACAAAACTTTTAGTTGTTTACTAATTGAAATAAATATGGCCAGTTCTAATTTGTACCAATTTTAGCAAAGTATTTTGTGAATGATGTTTATACAACTAAAGCATGAAACAGGTTTTGGGGGGTGGGCAACTGTTAAAGTATTATAGAAGTTCAAACTTTAATGTGAAATACTGGCATTCGTATATAAAGCACTGAGTGTCTTTCAGCTGGCTGGCATTAAGCACTCAAATATGAGTTAGTATCCTTAACCCTCACATGTGTTTTCAGCCTGCACCGTTCTCTATTCATTTTTAGGTTATCTATCACCCTTACACTTTCATTCATCCTTATCCTTCACTATTCTCTCATCATTATTTTCCCTTCGTTTACTTTAGTAGCAAAAGGCCCAGTTCACAAAACACTGCCTGACATCTCATCACTAACATGAATTTCTTTTCCTTTATGCACCATGGGATGATTTTGACTCTGGGGAAAAGCACACACACTCTGGGGGAAAAACTCATAATAACAAAGCCAGTTTGGGTACCTTTGTATTTACTAATAACAATGATGCTTGTGTCAGGAAATGGAAGACATATTCACTAACAAAATAAAGGGAAATATTGAAAATACTCTTACAAATTTTGGCTTTTTAAATAACTAGAGGAAGAGAGAATTAAAAGTTTGTTGTTACAATGGAGAACTAATGTATTAGTTATTAGAGTGATTTGGCTGGTCAACTAAGTGATTAGACCAGTGATTTTCAACCTGTGTTCCACATGTCTTAAAAAATTCAATACCTGTTTAGTCAGGGGCACTGACCTCTTTTCCCTTAGATGGTCAAATTAAAAAATGACAACAGCCAATACAATAGCTGTCTGGTATGAATGGGTCAAAATTATACCTATTTTTGTCAGATTGGCAAAAATATATTTTTAGTGTGCCACAGAATTTTAGTAATTAGTTTATGTGTGCCACAAGATGAAAAAAGATTGAAAATCACTGGATTACAGTAACACTGTTTGATTAAAAAATAATAAAAACTTGCATTTAATGATCAAAGAGACTAATTATGGGGATAATTAAATCTAGCTATAGGAAAAATAATCAAATAATATCTCTTCATATAATATCTTACATAGTACTTTAGTCATAAGTGCATGCATTTTATCTCCCTAAATGAATCATAACCCCCTTGAAGATATTATAATATTTAGCATCTATCAAATATGTCTTTTATACAGTATTCTCCTTACACATGTACACTGAATAAATGCATTCATAAATCTAGCCAGAAAAAACTTCAAACTTATTGTCATGAGAGGATTAATCCTAAAGAATTCTGTTTAGATTTATCAAGCATCTAATAAACACCAGGCATGATATTAGACACAGGTAGTCCTTTCCATTTCTTATCTCTTTTGAATCTCATAATAATCCTACAATGAAAGCACTATTATCATCATTTTATATATTGGAACATTGAAGCTCAGAGAGGTTAAACAGTATGCCTGGGGCCAACAGATGAAAGAAAAAGAGCTGACATTTTTTACATAGGCCTTTGACTCCAAAACTTTGAGTTTTTTTTTCAGTTACACCATTAGTTAGTGCAAAGAAAATACCACTAAACAATCTGGGATGCTTAAGCCTTTAAGGGACTGTGTGTGTGTGTGTGTGTGTGTGTGTGTATGTGTGTGTATGTGTGTGTATGTGTGTGTATGTGTGTGTATGTGTGTGTATGTGTGTGTATGTGTGTGTATGTGTGTGTATGTATGTGTGTGAGGGTGTTTCTAATAAATTCTAATGACAAATTCACTTTGGCAGATCAACAAAATCTAATTTAGTAGAGTCAATCAAGTGTTATTTTCACTTGCTAATTAACAACTCTTTTGCTTTTTAGACAGCAGAGCCAAACCAGTGACTAGAAAGTTATTGGTCCAGAATACACCTGGACATGGCTGTCAGCAGCTTTCACTTTGAACACAAAGGACAATTATGGTGAATTTGTCCCTACCTAATTAACAAAATTTTACAAAATGCATCTCTCTCAATATTGCACCATCAACTGTCAATCACTTTACTAAAGAATTAAAGTATTTCAAGCACATTATGAAAATTATGGGTTGTTAAACAAGGTTTCATTTTTATCTTTCTGCCTTAGGAACTCATTTATTGTTAAGTTTTCACTCATTTACTCATTGATTTATTCAGTAGCTATTATTGTGCACTTACTATATATGTATTCAATCTTCTACTCATTTCTTAATTAGATAGAATAAGAAAGCAAATAAATGTACCATACTGAGGCAGATAAAGTAAAAATTGTTTCTTTAGAAGGGACTAGAATACTTGGATGAGGACTACTAACTCCACAAAAGAATTTGAGAAGGTTGAGCAGTCATTAATATTCTCATGATTTTAATGTTCTAATTTGATTCAGGCTATTTTTATATCTTCCCCTCCCTCTTTGTTTTATTCTCTATGTGTCTCCTTTCCTCCCTTTACTAATATTTTTTGAGTGTTACTGTGTCCTAGGCACTGTGGTAAGTGTTGAAGCTATACAAATAAGTAATAATACTCCTTGTTCTCAAAGATTTCAAAATCTCTTTAGGGAGACTTGACAGATGAGCAGATAATTACAATATAATGAGGAAAGTAGGTAATAGTGATATGGAAAGATATGAATAGCTTTCTGTAGGAGAATAGAGGAGCAAACACCTACTCTACTTTGGGGAGATGGAAACCAGAGGGGTGATGCTTATGATGGATCTTGTATCTAGTGATTATTCTTTAGGAAAAGAAAGATGATAATGTCAGTCTGCACTAAGAAGAAATATATGCCACTGGAAAGCAAGCCTATCATTAGAAGGCTTATTTTGTCATTACCATTAGTAATTGCAGTGTTTCCTTAAAAACAGGTTTGAAAATTCTGTCTCTTGGTCAACTCATTTCTCATTGTACTTCACAAAGAAAGTGTGATAGCAAACAATGACACCTCATCCACTGTAGCAGTTTTTTTCAGAGATTACATCAAAATGAGTTTTCCAATTATTGTGGATAATAACATGCTTTTGGAAGCTGCTGAGCACAGAGACAAAATAGTGCTCTTAATTGACATGTGTATTTATGATAGAACAAATGTATTAGCTGAAATCTTATGGCAACAGCATAGTCATTCCAAGTATAAGAAGTAACATCCAATCCAATCCAAATGCCAGCTTAAAACAGGGTTAGTAATGGGGGAGTAAAGGGGACATATGTAATACTTTCAATAGTAAATATTAAAAAAATAGGGTTAGACTAGGAATTCTGAATGCAGTCTCTTCAAACTTTTTATTATGAACCCTTGAAAACTTAATAAAATTAAAATGTGACAATAATCTACTGTAATAAGTTATTGATTGCCAGTCTTGGAAGGTTTATAAACTAGAGAACATAAATATAGAGCAATGAAGCAACACATTGTCATTGTCAACACATACACACACAAAAACAAGCAAACAAAAATCATCCCATGACCTATGCACAATTTGCCCTATGAAATAAAGCAGCACACCCAATCTGAAAGTTGGCATGGAGATACTCCAAGAGTCTGCCTTCTTTTCTTAGATCATCAGATGAAGTAGAAGACAAACAATGCCAGTATCTCTCACATTCAGCCAAAATTAACATTTTCCTCACAGCAATCCCTTTGGGTGTATTTACTAGCAACCATGGCATTTTTCAGCACTCATCACCTTTCTAGCCCTCACTCTATGACCACCCCTTGGACACTTCCCTTAATTCTTTTGTTTTCAAAATAGAAACACAGTTAGGTTCTGGGAATTGGTGGTGAACAAAGCATATATCCCAATGGCTATTTTTATAGAGCTAACAGCATAGTGGGGGAAGACAAAATAAGCAAGTGAATATGCTAAGAATTATGTAATTACAATGATGAATGCTCTGAAGTAAATTCACTTGGTGAGAGGGAATGGGAGTGACTATTTTTTATCTTAATAAGTTGACCTGAAACATTTGCATAGATGATCAATAGAAATTATACAGACCATATTTTATGACCAGAATGCAGTAAAATTGAGATTAATGAAAGTTAAATTGGCAATATCTGAACTATAAAAATTTAAAAATATATTCCCAAGTTAATACAAATGGTCAGCTATACAAAAAATATTAACATGAAAGCAAAGTACCTCATACCCAAAGCTATTCTAAAAAGTAAATTATTTATTAGGATGCTAGAAAATTTATAAATTTGACTTTAAAATAAGGATTAAGAAAAGGAACACCTACAAAAGGCTTAAAGATATAAAGAAAGAATGAAACTATAAAATTAGAGTTGAAGTGAATGAATTAGGAAACAGGTAAAAAGAGTAGGTTGAATAAATATATAGCTCATACCACATTCTCTGGAGAATTAATCAGAGACATATTAATATAAAAAGTAAAAATCATTTGTCACCAGAAGTTATCAAATAAATTTAAGTTTATGGGACAAGATATTATGTTCACTCATCTAATCAGCAAAATATGAGGACATGCATAAAGTTGATGATGCTTTTTTTTTTGGGTATTTTGTACATTCCCAGTGAGAGTGCCTTCTCAGGACACAAGTTTAATATATATAACAATAGACTTACAAAGGGGAAAATACTTAGTTGCTTGGTTTATTAATTCCACACTATTAATTAATTTTAAAGACAAAAATCAGAAAGAAGGACCATTTTCTACATTAAAGTTTTCACTGGTTTTATTTACACCAATGAAAAATGATCAACTTGATGTTCAATAATAATGAAAGAGCTAAGAATAAAATATGATGATGACATTCATATTTTTATAGAAGAGTTTAATCTGAAATATATATTTATAGTGAAAAATTAGATTTTAGTTATATGCAGTAGTTTTAAAATAAGCCTTTTTGAATAATTTCTTATTGATGATATTCTTAATAATGATTTTCTAAAATTATTTTCACATTTTTCAAAAAATATTTATTAAGAATTATTGACAGCATTATTGTGAAGAAGTGCTATTTAATGAGTTGATATACCCTTAAATCTTATATATAATCCAGAGAGGAACTAAAGGTTCATTCCATCCAGATAAGAACCTAGCAAATGACAGATATTTAATATATGAGATCCAATGACAATGAGGTAAGAAGCAGTGGCTCATGCTGAGTGTAAGCAGTGGTGAGACCATAGTACTCACATATAGTCTTGTCTGCAGAAGAGCTGGAAAGGGCCTGCAAGGAATCCATTTGACACTAATAAGACTTCTGGAGAAGTCAAGCAAAGTAATTTTAGAACAATAGGGAAGAATGATGTGTCTGACTAGAATGTACCCTGTCTACTGAAACAGGAATTTTTTGGGGTGAAAAAGACCAATTTTAGGAAATTTTAAAAATTAAGGGGACCATGGAAGAAGCACAGGGCTGCAGAGCAGCAGAAGGTATATCTCCATAGAATAGGGAAGCTGAAAAGCTGCAACAGGTACATTTCCATAGAATGAGGGAGCTGGGAACAGCAAAAGGTCTATATTTACAAAATAAAGAGAAGGGAGCCCTTCATCCAGAAGGAGAAGAAGAAAGCCCAAAGGGAATAGGAAAATAATAAGGGATAGGAAAATAATAATAATAAAAATAATAATGAGGTTCAACCTTTGAGCCCAGGAGTTACTATAGTAACCAGTCCAAGGGAATAGTGACCAATCAGAGGGGATATCAAGGCACCAGGATCTGCAGCCTTTATAAGCCATAGGGAAAAGAAACTCATTGGGATCCTCTCCCCCTCTCCACGTGGGAGTCCGTTCTGTGGGACTCTTTCCCCCTAACCACGTGGAAATCTGTACTTGTTCTTCAATAAATCTCCACCTTTGCTATATCATCTTCTGTCCGTGGATTCATTCTTTGATTCCAATGGACAAAGAATCTGGGTTCCAGTCCAAACATTCTGTATCACTACTACTCTGTTCTCATCCTGAATTGGGTAACTTATTCCTATAATGAGGAATCTATAATTAACGTGAAAAAAATAAGCAAGTTTTAATTTTGTCTCCAGTATTCATAGGGCAGGTGGATAAATAGATGGTATGGACTTCAATAACAACTCTGGCAGTAGAATTTATGGTGGGCACATCATTGGCTAATGAAACATGGTCATTGTTTAATTTCTGTAAATTCTCTGGAATATTTTGCTATACTGCTTCATAGTTAAATTTTTACTCTATGCCAGCAATATATTTAGATGTCTTGTTTGCCTGATAAGGTGTGTGTACTTGAGGTAGAAGAAATATGGTATTCCATGTTTTACTGTTTGGTAATGATACTACTAAGGAATAGCACTAAAACTCAGTAGTTAATTGTGATTAAACATTCCTTAGACTCGAAGGTTACAAATTGATATTTGTTATTGCTTACTAACATGGCAACTGAAACATTGCCATTACCGATAAGATGGCATGGTTGTTTCTTTTTGATATTTCTTTAGAGGTTTTTCTTTTAAAGCAGATTTTCTGAAATATCTACAACCCAGTATTGGTCATAGGTATTAAAACTTAATTTTTCAAAGTTCAGAAATAGTAAGATTGTAAATTCTATAAATGTTAATCCTACTCTTTCATCTTTTGAAAATTCATGGTCTTAATATTTTAGAGATAGCATTGCATATTGTTCAGGATCATAAACTTTGGAGCTAGATTTCCTTGGTTTGAAACCAGGAGTTTACTATGAAAGTGAACAAGCCACTTAATCACTCTGTCCCTCAGTTCCCTCATCTGTACAAAGGGAAACTAGTTCCTGTGTTATAGAATTACTAGAGGCCCGGTGCACAAAAATTTGTGCACTCGGGGGGCGGGGGAGGGAGGGTCCCCCAGCCCGGCCTGTGCCCTCTCGCAGTCTGGGACCCCTCGGGAGATAACGACCTGCTGGCTTAGGCCTGCTCCCGGGTGGCAGAGGGCACGCCCAATCCCTA